TGCCGGGGGCGGGGTGAAAGGAGGGGCGGAGGTTTGTGGCGGAGTCGCCGGCGGCGGCCCGGTCGTCAGGCCGCGGCGTGGGTGGGTGGCGGCGCCGGGAACCGCACTGTAGCCGCCGCGCTCTTCGTCTGCAACTGCCTGCGGGCTGCTCCAGGTCAGTCCTCGCCCAGGCAATGCCACCGGCCAGGAAGCGATGAGAAGCAACGGGTCACAAGAGTGGATATGTAGATAAGGGGTTGTTATTCCAGTCTAAGAAACTTACTCGCTTCCGTTTACCTGAGAAAGCAATTTCTTCACTTTCATTCGTTAAATACACTACTTAGAAGTGATTTCGATATAACTGGTTACTCTTGATTCTCCCAAATAAAAGTTCTTTCACAGATGCCTCTTTTCAGTTAATTTTATTATAACATTTGTTGTAATAATAACAATTCATTTGTTACTATTCTATTAATGTTACAAAACTTGCCAAGTCAGTTATTAATATCTTTTCACAAGCACATCTCTTTATACTGCATTTCCAATTCAATTTCATTTCATATCTTTTAGTTTAGTGAAGTTCATACAAAGTATCGAAATGTTATGTACCGCTTACAGCGCCAACTGCAAGATAATAATGCCTAACCTGGAGTGGCTTTCGATCATATTTTGTGTTATTTTTTTAGTTCTATTGCAGTTTACAATATTTGTTGCAGAGAGCTTTGGTTGGTTAGTTTCTGGCTTGAACGGTCACCCGTTGAGAGCTGCGCCATTCGCTTCAGAGCACTGCACAATATTTCTTTAGACGAAGACGGAGTTCATAAAAAGTGTTTTTCTTAGCTGACCTACACGTTATTCTCTAAACCTCTTTTACCTAATAATATCAATTTCTTACTACGGGGTCTAGAATACCTCTCCATCGTTACAGAATGACTCGAAATACAAAAATTATTAAAACACAAAGCAATTTCACTTAAAACTACTTTATTTAAAATAGTATATTATTACATACAATAATAGAATAATTAAAATTTCTTTAACGTTACAATATAAACATTTGACGAACGTAATGGATGTGTTATGTTCCGTAGATACAACATTTTAATCGTGTGAGGGAAGAACGAAATTATGCTTTTCACTCAAAACATAAACCAACACGTGTAACCTTTGTACACCTACGCTTTCGCGCCTGGAGTTCATGACTTCTTGGCTGTCCGGGTGACGTGTAACCTTTGTATCAATCAACGAAGTTAATTCATTAATTTATTTATTTACGTCATAAACAGTTAAAAAATGTGTGTGACATGCGATGGGGAGAAGTTAATTTGAAGTTACATTACTGTCCAGAAGCAAAATAAGGGGCCATCTCATTTGCTCAAGGATCAGAGAAACTTGAAAAAATCTGATCGAGATGGGAGTCATTGACCCAGAAGCTGAAGTGCAATACTTGTTACACGTTCTTCAGAATTATACAATCCAAATGGTAAATAATACATTAAATGTCATTGTTAAAATTAATATTACTTTCCTTTTCAATGCTCGGTAAAGCCTCTAATTGTATAGAAACAGATGTGCAGCAGAAAATATTTTACTTGGGTCATTTGTCAAATGTAAATTGGATACATTTGTATCAAATTTAATGCTTTAATGTCATCTGGCAAGGTGTTGTAAAATAATGTGCATCTATTTTATGTGAATCAAATTAAATTATATGTAGATTATTCTTGTACAATTTGAAATAATATTATTACGAACTTAATTTGTACTTCCACAGGAAGTATGGTACCAATACATACATTTAAAACATCGTCAGAGGTTAAGTTTGAATTTCAGCACGTAATACACACACAGTTTTGTTTTTTAAGCGAAATAACTGCATAAACGTTTTATTGATGAGTTATGAGTAATGCTTTCGTCCAAAAAAAATTAGATGTAGAGAAGGATTCGTGTTGGTCGCACAACGATTGTTACATTATATCGAAAAGCGTAAATTTGGTTATTAAAAGTTCTGGAATACATACAAATCGTGTATATAATTTACTTTTTACTAGTAACAGACAATCACTTTTCACAATACAAATACGCACGTGAACAATTAGAAGTAGTTTTTCTTTGCGTGAACGTAATTATATTTTAGCATCAATGGGAGTAATAATTGTTGACGACATATCTGGCAGGAAAATGTTCAATACAGTCTTTTCTCTTTCTTTCGTCCAGTTTTTATTTCTTATACATGCGCATAAATGAATATGCGAAAGAATGAGTAAGGCAAAGTTGTATTTTCAAAGTAAGAATTCTGAATGTATGTCCAATGTAAAAAATAGAACTAGTGAAAAGGAACGTCAAGTAACGTTTAAATTGTCTAATTTAACGAAATTTTTAATGGAAGAAAATATAAGTTATTAGCTGGGCGGTGAAGTAGGACAAAAGGCCTCAATTGCAACACATATACAGATATAAGTTATTCAAATTTTACAATTTTGTATAATTCTAGTAGTTTCCCGGCTTCCAACGATGAATCTACAGGGCCTATTTATAATGATACTTAAAAATTCCTGTGTAAAGAAAACTGTAATTCAAATTGCAGGAGCAATGTGTTTCGCTTATAAAGATGTTATATCTATAAAAGCGTTACCAGTGTATTTATGTACGCCACGATGACAAACAACAAACTCTATGTAGAGACTTTTCTACTGATTATCTTGCGATGAAGCCGTTTGTAACAACATATTTATCACGCGTATTAAATGTTGAGTTCTCCATCGAAATGAAATCACTCTGGTCGAAGATGGTACGTAAATTTATGGAACGAACGTGTCCACACAGCGCAGGTGAATCACATTTATTCTTATACGAACAGTATCTGGCAAGCGATATCAATCTCTACGAGAATGTGGATGTGTACTGTGTAGACCCCGAGACCTGACGCAGATTCAAGAACAATGCATTGTGTGTAGTGATCTTCAGATACAGAAAAAACAAAGAGCACAACTATGACAGTATAGACAAAGGATTTTTGATGAGATACAAATTGAAAAACAATTTTACACTCATAACTGATGCTGAATTTTAGGGATCATTTACGGCAACAAAAGCTTCGTATATACAGACGAGGCCGAGAAATTTCTCTATCTAGGCCTTAAAAGCATGGATGTAATAATAATACAATAAACAAAATAATACAAAATGAGTAAATTAGTAACAATGTGACATGAAACAATGCCTAAAAGCCTTAGGATGACTGCTCCACCAGATGATGTAGTGTATTTTATTCCTTTCTTTGTTTCAGCTTACAGTCTTCGTGATGACAATATGAGGGTTGCTTTTATATTAAGTAAATGGCAAATTAAATAAAAATAAGTCAGACGTGAGTATGCAAACAACATTGTGTAAGTCGTGGCCACGAAGTGATGTTTTCAAGCTTGAAATATTTATCGACATCCCTCGAAAAAGTATCAATGAATGGTTTGCACTGAATGCTTTCGTACAAACACCAATATTATTTTTATTTGATTTTAATTTTAAAACTCGTATTTAATATTGTACGTCCATTCGTTTATTGCAAAATAAACACGGAATTACTACGACTTCCTTGGAAAGATTAAATTACTCTACGTTTTAAATGAATTCTATCAAAATCAATATTGTTTTACCCACAAACTCTCAATTAAGAAGTTTATTTACTTAACATAGACACCAATATTGGATTATTTGCAGTCTAAATTATTTTCACTTTTTTAACACTATCAATCTAGCCGTATTCATATCGTACATCAATATGGTTAGGTTCATGGAATCAATAAATTATTATTATTATTATTATTATTATTATTATTATTATTATTATTATTATTATTCTTTTATTTTAGTATTTTCATGAATCACACAATTTTTTCACGTGTCTCACCCTAACATCTACTCTTAATAATTAATTTCATTGACGTTTGTTATGACTGCGAGCGAAGTATTTCCTTCTCACGAAAGTGACGTAAGAGAAATAACACAATACCGCGGCCAAAGCCTCCGAAGCTCAACAAGTACTTTGTCTAGATATTTGTCGGTTGCACATTAGCACCATTTTCGCAACCACACCTTAAACAAATAGCGTCGAAGCTCCTCTTTCTAGCGTTAACATTGAGATGTGTTGACGATCATGATGATTATATCAGATGCTATGAAAAGGTTAATGCAATGACGGTTAATTAGCGGTGGTAAGTTGCTTGTTTTGTAGAAAACGGGAGAACAGAAAAGCCCTGCCGTGAATCACCAATCTGCCATAAATTCGTTATGGAGTTACTCAAATTCGAACCCTGACACTTCCAGTTGGAAATCTAGCGCTCTGGCAGCTACGTTACGAGATACCTCTCAGATTTTTTTATATTGGAAAAACATCAGACAGTCTGGAAGTAAATCTCATAATAAAGCAACGTAAATGTAGTATTTCGATTCACATGACCTCACTTTCGAAGTACGCCACTTGAAAACGGTAGAATCTGACATTACTCATCCTCTAAGCGATGTACAAGAAACAGACACCGCTACAGAGTCGCGGCTGCAGATTTTATTTTGCGCCCGCAGCCACGTCAGCCTTGCACTTTGCTCTCGATAGTGGAGAACACACTCACTCCCCTTCTCTCTCAAACACACATTCACACACACACACAC